TTCCGACTTTAAAAGGTAGCGTGCTGGAAAGGGTTAAAAATTACATCAACCGTACAATTATCGCTGCTTCTGAATCCTGTATTATCTTACGTTGCTTAACAGTAAATGTGTTTGGTACACAATCAGCTATACTCGTCAACTTTCTATTATTCGCAACACCATTAGCTCGGCCAAATAAAATAAAATAAGGCAAACACCACCTGAACACACTGAAACACACTGACTGTCTCTGCTCGACTGTCTACCAGACGAACGTGGCACTCACAAGCGCTCGCGCATGCTCATGGAGCTTTGACTTTACCAAAATTTTGACGCGTTACTATGCGTATACCTTACGTCCAATTTTGGTTTTTCCTAATGTGCTTTTCATCTATCTAATAATGTGTTTAGACTGATTGTTACATTTGTTAAATAAATTCGTATTGAATCGATTTATTGAAACACAAAATTTATTTTAAGTTCGTAAAATAGCTAAGTGCCTACGTTTCATGACGATGTGAAAATGGAGTGCGTAGAGTAAAATCTTGCTTTCCTATAGCCCATTATGTCTCAAAATGACGAGATTTCGTCACAAAACATAAAATAAAAAAAATTCTAATTTGAATTTCGAAAAAATCGCTTCGAGGTGCACTGGCTCTTGTCTAGATGCACCTATGTACCAAATTTTGTAGCCGTGGGTCTATTAGCTTACGCGCAGCATGAACGAAAGACACTCACAGACTCTTTGTTTTATTATATGTAGAGATATGGCTGCTATGGTAAGAAAAATTAAGCTTAGCCATACTTAACCAATTTTTAAATTGTTGTTAATTCTACAATTTTTGCATGCAGATTAACTAAAGGCATAAAACCCTTAACTAGAAGATAAGAATAACATAATGCAATCATTTTTAAAGCAAAAATACACAATTTACCAACATATAAAAATTTAAAAAAAAAAAAAAAAAACTGAGCTCACTGAGCGGAATAACAAATTGGGCATATATATATAAATATATACCCAATCTGTTATATGTATAAATTATATATATATATATATATATATATATATTTACATACTTTTGGTGCCACCAATTGCAACCAAAATAGGAGGGGCACAATAACATGTTATAGCAGTCCTATATACAAAATTTCAACGTTTTGAGGCTACTTGTTTTTGAGTTATTCGAGATAACATATGTACGTACTCACATACAGACGCCATGAAAAAAATCTCTTTTGATTCCATTTTAAATCAGTTTCATAATTCATTTGGAGAAAAGGAGTCCTTTATTCTGTGATTATGTACATATGTCATGCAAAAACATTGTTAAAATTGCATTTAATAGCCGTCAAAATGGATATTTTTTTGAAATATACCTAGAATTCTTTGTGATTACAATACTTCGTACAAGGAAGTCAAAAAGGAACCATATCTATATAATTAAATCATAAAAAAAGGGAGGATTTATCTATAAAGATTTTAGAACGTTGAAATACAGCAAGAAAACATGTAAAAATGACAAATTATTTGTGAAATTGGATATCTTGCACATTGTTGCCAGATTTTGGCGTGCATTCTAAAAATTTGGCAATTTCTATTAAGGTGGTTGCGCTAATATTATGTAAGTGCATTTGGATCACCTTTTTAACATGTGTAATGGATTAACCTTTGAAGTTAGTAATGAAACTGAATTTTGGATCAGAGCTCATTTTTTGAAATCAAAATTTTGGAGTCCTAGTGGGTCATAGAATAAAAGTCAATAATAGAAAATAATAATTAAATATCAAAGATCAAGTAATGTAATGCTTAAAAAAATGCTACTTTCAAATTAAAAATTGGTTAAAAATCAGTCATGTTATAACATAGGCAAGAACTGTATGCATTATATGAGGCATTATATAATTTGTTATTAAAGTATTCTCTCTTCTTCGGTAAATAAAATCCTTACTGAGTTTAAGTTCTCAGGAATTCTATGTGCATCTTCTTTCACATAAATGCAGTGACCAGATAGTACTAAGGTGGTACTAAGTTTCTATAGGTGGCAGAATATTTTAAATCTTGAAAGAAAGAGAGAAATCTGTATCTGCCTCTTCTGAAATATACAGAATTTTTTTATCAATCCTTGTCAGTCTAAGGCTGTTTTGTTTAATTTTCAGTTGTAATCATAAATCATGGGAAAAAAAAAGCAGCTCTTTTTTTATTTTATTTTATTTGCGAAAGTAAGGTAAGTTCTGAACAAAATGTAATATCATGACTTGTAAAAATGCAAACATTTTTATAATTTCTTTTAATGTAGTCATAGTCTTAACGCCAGTCTGATTTTTTAATAAAGATTAAATTATGCCTCATTTTTTGTACAAATTATAACATTGATAGCAATAAAAACATTGAATTTAATCAATATATGCATTAATTAAAAATTCAACTTCATTTTTAAAGAAAATATTGTTGTGGGCTACGGGTTCATTGAGACCTCTTTTAAATAATAACTTCAGGTAAACATTAAAAAATTAACAATTTGTTATTAAAGTTAATTATATATAGTAAAATAAATAATAGCAAATAGCTTAAGGAGAATCGGATATACAAGACATTTCATCAATTGCCATTATCACGTACGAAGCAAACTTTAAATTTACAATTAATACCATGTGGCGAAGTCGAGATTGGATAATTTCTCTTCATGAAAGATATATGGATGCAAAGCAAAATTGAGAAAGTCAAGATGGTTCATCGTGATTCATGGAATCTATAATATGCCAGTGACTGGACAAATGCTTCAGACAAAGATCAATGAATCTACCAAAAATGGGAAAGATTGTCTTTTTGCTCTCAAGTAACTGGCTGGACTGGTTTAAGGAGTAAAATGTTTCTTCAGAAAAATTGTTGGAGAATCATAGTGTTTCAGAATCTGCTTTTGAAATATGCGAGCAATTAAATTTAGTTTGATGTTCGTATTTGTTACAATCGAAAACATAAATTCTGCGCACATGAAGCTACGGCGTGTTTTGCATAATGACGCCATTTTCGTCAGGCGATGAGAGTGATGTTAGAAAAAAATGTCATGTCTTATGTAGTCAGCTTAGACATATAAGAGCTAAGTGACAATGGATATGATGTCGCCTTCATGCTGGATTCATGTAACGTTTGGGACTGATATCCACACCACCACGCAGAACATATAGCCGACTGTCTAGAGTTGGCTGTGGCTGAATGGCACAGTATATTTTTCACAATTTTGTTTTCTGCTATGGCAATGCCCCCCCCCCCCCTTTTTTTTTTTTTTTTTAATTTCACTGTAAAATCTTGACAGTAGCTATCTAAATCTAATTATTTTCCTGCCCTCTATAAGGCAACGTAAAATGCCAACATACTGCCAGAAATTTGAGAAAATAGTCTTTGCTCTCAGGAGCTTGTTGGCCTATTATCTTTGTTGGAATACCCGCTTATAGAGAATAGCATTGTAATCAATTTTGGATAATTGCTGTTAATTTTTGCAGTTGTTTCTGTTCACTTTTTCCATTTAGTAAATTTGCCGTTTTATTTTTCATCTTGTATGACTGTTGAATAATGATAGCAAATGCAATATTTTGTCATAAATTTTTCAAATGCTTTGAGTAGTTAAAATTAAAACAGGAAAAAGCTGAGACCCCCTATCCATAATAAATACACGTTTTCTCAAATGCAGAACAAATCTTTAACCTGGTGAAGACATGGATGTAAATTTTCTGTCCCTTCATAGGATGTAACAGTGGCCTGTAGGCCACCATTACATCTTTTTATGGATGCACCTAATAGGTGCCTCGATAAGACCATCACTTCCTGCTTTGGTAGTAGTAATAGTAGTAGTACATAAGTAGTGGCCAACACCTTACCAGTAGTACTTAAGTAGTGGCCAACAATTATAATGGCTAATGCACGCTATTGGAGGGGGGTAATTAACAATTGTTAAATGTGTTTTTAATTATTTGTATAAATTAATGAAATTAAATATTAATTTGTGAAATTAATAAAAATGAAAAATTATGAAAAAATTAATGAAAAAATATTTGAAACTTCATTAAGCATAAACTGATACTAAAAATATTTCTAAGTGTCTACAAGGTCACAAGAGTGCACTTCTTAAACTTTCATGAGAATGTAATCATAATTAATAATAAAGTAGTAAATTTTATGGAACTGGAAAAAGTTTAAAATTCATATTTGAAGATTTTGTTGTTAGCTGAGAAAAGAGACCAGGCGATTATATGTGAATGCTCATTTACATTTTTGCAGATAATGAAAATAAAGAATTTTAGGAAATATTCATATATTTTTGCAGTATTAATATGTAAAGCAGTATTAATATGTTGCGGTATTAATATGTAAAGCAAATTTTCTGTACTAAGTATATGGGACATACAAAGTGCACTGAAAAAGCAAAAGTTGGTATTCATTTTAGATTCGATTTCAAATTTTGTAAGCAAGTAATTTTTCTATTGACTGTGGAATTGATTAAATTTGGATTATTTAAGTCGTAGTCTGTAAAGTAATACGGTATAGAATATTTTAAAACAGTGTGATTGATTGTATACACATAAAGCAGAACTATTTAAAAAAGAATTAACTTTCAGTACTATTCCAAACTCAGGACTTTAAAGGGAATGTATATATTAAGAGTTATTTCAAATCCAAAGGATCAAAATAGAAAATTTATCTAGGTATTGTGTTCTTCATCTAGTATTATTTTACTCTAATTTTATGCATTTCATGTTCATAATTTTTTCTGGCATATTTTATATTAATTTATGAATTGTATATAGAAATTTAAGGATCAATTTTTGAAAGCAAAAATCAACTTCTTTTCCACTTTCATTTATTATTAATATTAAATATATTTTTTAACTGTATATCGGTGCTAATATTAGTAGTAGAAATTTTAATTGATAACTTGCTAAAATTAAATTACGTATTACGATTGAATGTGTGCAATTATTTTAGTAAAAATATTTATTACTAAAATTTTGATAAATTTCAGGTTGACAGGATGGGATTTAATGAGGATTTAAATATGCATCATTGCCACCACTTCATTTTAAAGCAGCTGTAAAGTTGTGAGATTTTAAATATGTGATATTTGAGAATGGTCCGTCCTACTGGAGATGAATCAAGACAAGTGCCAATTGCTGAAGTTAAACCTGACAGCTGGGGACACACTATTTCTCAAGATCTCCAAAAAGATGATACAGTAACTCTTACCAAATCACAGTTTCAACAGATTTTAGAAGCTATTGGACAAGCCCATGGTAAACAATATTGGCACCTTGTTAAACAATATCTTTAATATACTTTGAAATGTTGTGTATTGTATGAAAAAATTTAAAGAAAAAAAAATCTGTGAAAAAATTGATAAAAATGAAGAAATGTAAAATTTAATTTGTTGATGGCAAGATGCCTATGAAAAGTGTGCATTGTAAAATTAATTATTTTTCATACTTATGTGTTATTGCAACCCCTGTAATAAAAATCTTTAAATTTTCAGAATGTGAAAAACGATGTGTATAGCCATTTTTAAGGCAACCATGCTCGTAACAATCCTTCAGTCAAGCAATGTTCCATTTTCATATGTGTTCTTTTTGTTGCATCCAGAGTTAGAATGGCTTTTATCAACAAATTGTGATATTTTTAGCCTTGAACTTAATTTTAAAATAGCTGTTTGTAGAACTTGGTAATAATGTAAGAATTTGGGATAAAATGTTTGCAAGAATACAGAACTTTGCAGCAATGTCTCTGAAGGGAACAGAAAGGACATTTGTTTGCTGATGTTGTTGAGGTTTGTGGATGCTGAATCTCTGCAGTTGTGTGATTTCTTTTTAAGTGAAAACAAACCACTGAGTGCTTGTAGAGTAGAAGAACACACACACACACATACACACACACACACACACACACACACACAAAAAAAAAAAAAAAACTGCATAAAGATTTGGTGAGGAATGAGTTTTAATTTTTTAATGTGTCACATAATAAATAATAAATAATCCTAATAATCATAATTTGTATTTAATAACTAAAATTGCTAAAGTATGTTTTTTTGGTACCTAAATATTATCTTGTCGACCTTGAAATTGTCACCAAGCAGTGGAATTTAGGTTCAGTTATAGATAAGCATGACATAACAGCACACTCAAATACATCTGGGCTTTCGTTTGATGCAACCCGATTGATTCTTGATTTGCTACCTTTTATTTTTATGAACAATGATATGAATTGACTGTTAATACTCTATTTTTTACTTGCATTTTTTTGGGGGGCAGAAAAATAAAATTTGGCAAGTCTTTTCTGGAAAACAAGTAGTGGTTTATTTTTAAAGGTATGAGATTCTACCATTAAAAAAACAGTGCATTCATTTATACGATATGGTCAGCTGAATATGACTGACAAAACAGTAATAGATTGAAAATTACCTGCAGAAGGTTTGCCCTCTTAGTGCTCTGCAAGAACTCCCTGTAAAATTGGAAGGCTTAACATAATAGTAGAAATTGATGGAAGCTATTTATGAACTGGATCAAATATTGTTTGCTTATTAAATAAAGAGTCATTAGTTCCTTCAGAATTCCCCAGAAGTGATTAGGGCCATCCAGTGAGTGAGTGGTAAAGTCGCTGAACATTAGTAGTTCCGTCCAAGGTTCAAATCTCGTCAAGCAGGCTGACTGCATTGGTGTTTTCTTGGTTTTCTCTGTGTGTAATGTGTATACAAGATAGTTTTCGTTATTAACCTTCTAAAATCGGGCCGAAATTCTCATAATATAGCCTTAAGACCGGCGCGATCTGAAACAGTTTTGCCCCCTCTTTGACATTTTCCTAATGAGAAAAGTCGTTAGTCCCCCCTCCATGGATGAAGTAAAATTTACATGTTTGTCGGACGCTTACGTCCCATAGTAGAGGGGTTGCTAGATTTGCAATTTTTTCAATGATTATTTTGCTTTCATTTTAAATGAGGTTCTAAATAAATAGTGCATAAATAAATATGCAGTACTGGATGCATATCCAGTGCACAATTTATTTACAACAAAATGTATGCAATGTTTATATTTCACTATTTCTGATCAATCTCGTAAATAATTTGTGAATTTTTTAACTTTGTTTTCACTTTTCATTTATATTTGCGTATTTTCATATTAGAAATTAGAAAACCAGAACAAAATTTAACAAAATATAGTAAATACGGACTAGCTTTGTAAGTCTGCAGGCTGGAATGCAATTTTTAATAACATATTTTCATTAACAAAATAATGGTAATGACTAATTTAATGAAATAATAATAATAATATTTATTACCATTAGATGATTAGAATGAGATTCAATACAATTAGATTCTAAGATGAACTTACAGCAATAATAAAGCTTTACATAACAATAACAGAGATTTAAGTCTGCTTTTTTTGATAATTTTGTTATTATAATATAAAAATCAAAATCCGAGATACATTGGTTGCGCTTCATCATTTAACTTTAACAAATATTGCATTGGACTATCAGGCAAAGGAGGTATATCTTTAACAAGAATTTTTCTTTGTAAAATTGGCTTTTGTTTATGTTAGCAAAGAAAAAAAATCCGTGACCTACACATGCAATCATCAAAAGAATTTTAAGAACAGTTTTAAATGTTCATGAAGAATTAATTATACGTCAATTTCTTTTCATAGGTAGAAATTTCGTCTAAAACCATCATTATATCCAAAAGTTGAAGTCTATTTCATTTTCAACGAATATTCTATTTGCACATAATATATTTTCTAATTTATTTTAGAAAGAGTAATCTTTCACGTTTTCAAAAGAATAAGGAAATACTGGGTGTTGACCCAATGTAGTAAATCTGTTTTTCATATTTCTTCCAGTAATGAAAACGATTACCCTGAAATATTTTCAAAGCAAAATTAAGAAAACCGTTGATGCCAAATTTTGCATAAAGTATCTTCTTGTGTATTTTTTTATTTAAAGTGTGAAATTTTCTCTTTGAAAATATAAAAAATCATGAACAGAGCAAAATTAATTCATGAGAAATAACTTTGAAATGCAATAATTCCATCGTAATATGAAATAGTAGAGAAAAGTGCAATACAGTTTATTTATTCACAAATAATCCCCTCATATGCATAATTTGTGTACTGTTGATTGAGAAATATAGGTTAGTAAATTAAACGGTTATTTCAATACTTTTCCTTTATCAATATTTTTACGGGCTCTTCAGTAGAGCGGTAAAGGTGGCTGAACACTTGTAGCTCACTTGGGTTTGAATCCCGGCTAAATAGTTGGATTCATGGTTTTTGTGTAACGTAAATGCAAGCCAACTTCTCTTAGAAAGTCCTCCGCGAAGGCATAACTCCCCTTATACAGATAATTGTTGTGTGCTTTAATGTAATTCAGTAAACAAACAAAATTAATCCAATCAAACCCGAAGAACGGGGTGATTGCATGTGGAGTTTTCCACCAGGAATGTAAATGCGAGCAATTTTCTCTTAAAAAGGTTTACACGAAAGCATCCATCCCCTTAAGCAGATAGCGTTTGCATGCTTTTCCGTAATCCAATCCTAATTTTCATACATTTAATAGTAAGTTGACATACACCTTATTACAGACAAAATAACAACCTTTTTTAAAGATATTTTTTATTAACTTGTCTGAATTCCCTTTAGGAATCTCTTGAGGAGTATAAGAATTTCAGCAAATAAAACTGCCCAAAATTTTATACAATGTAACTGATGTTTTGATTCAATTTAGAAGTAACGTGAGCTTTACTGATATTTAAATACTTTTTGGCAGATCTCATCCTAAAAGAGGGTTTAAAGATAAATTGATTTTATTTAATTTACAATTAGTGAAAATCATTGAAAGCAATCACTGAATGAATGAAAATCACAAAAACTATTATGCGTACAATTGTCTCTTATTTATCTCCTGATAAATCAGACAAAATTGCCCACATAATAGAAGCACTTTGAAAGAGTTAACAGTTCTTAAAGAGTTTTATGCACTCCACAAAAAAATGTCAAAATAAAATCTTATTATTCATAAGTATGAAAAGGAAGTAAACGATAAAAGCGGTTTTACCTATTTTCTAGAAGGACATTAAATCTAAAATATTAACCTATTCTTATTTGCTATGATTAAAAAACATTAAATATGGTAATCTTAAAGAGCGTGCAAAATCGCTGACGTTTTAATCATAGCAAAAGTCAGTACTAAAAAAAATTAGCATTAAAATATGAGACAGATTGAGAGAGAGATGGCCTCTATTTGATTTTCAAGTATATTGGCACGAGACGAAACCTGCGGTTTTTGCCAAAATGTAGCCAAACTGATAAGAAGAGGGAAATAATGCGTAGCCAGCAGCTACTCTGAGCAGCAACAATGGACCACCCAGACAGAGATCTACAGATAAGCGATTCTCTAAAATAGGGAGGGCATGGATGGTACGACAGTTGTACCAACGCCGGCGTCTGAGAAAGTCATTCTCTTGGTACAACTGCTGTACCAGCCGGCTTCAGAAAGTTAACACCCCCACAAAGGCATGTCTCCCGTTTGGCAGATAGCTCTTGAGTACTTAGCCATAATCAAATAAACTAAACCGTAGAAGCAATTAGCATAATTTTGGCAAACTTCTGCCAACATTTATGGTTTGATGGTAGCCAGCTTTCACGGTCGAAGGGATAATATATAAGTACCTTCTTTTCATATGTTGATAATGTCTGTTGTTGGACTTCTAAATTAATAATGTCTACTGAATAATAAATATTGATAGTTTGGGAAAGCTTCTAAAAAAATTCAGGGAAATCACCAGCTTGCACCTATAAGTAACTTTTACCTTTTCAGTCTTGGTAATGGTAAAAATCACCTAATGGTAAAAATCACCAAATTGCACCTAGGTAATCCCATAATATGTATACAGTCAAAAGTCGTTAATCCGGACTCGTCGGGACTTCGGCGATTCTGGATTATCGATTTTTCCGGATTATAGATCATCAGTTTAAATCTCGTAAGATGGCATGCAGAAATTCTAAAATTAAAAATATGAAACCATAATTTATGAAATAAAGAACAATTATGATCTAAAGGGTATCAAAATTTACAAAAAAAAAAAAAGCTTAATATTTATTTGTTTACTTTATTAAACATTTCTTTCAATGTAAGTTGTTTAAGTTGCTTTGTTTTATGTAATAATACTTTGTCTTTAATTCTATAAACAGACATAATTTCTTGTTCAGTTACAAAGTTCCGCTGTTCAAGTCCCGTAATTGCTGTG